TGAATTCTTGAATTGTAAGTAAATATCTGGCAAATTTTCCAACAGGGTTCTTATTCTTGAACAAAGAAATTAATGGTTGATGATCTGTAAGAACATGCACTGGATAATTGTAAATTGTATGTCTGAAATGTGTAAGAGACCATACAACTGCTAGAGCTTCACACTCTGTTGCACTATAAGTTTTCTCTTCCTTAGACAATGTACGGCTGGCATAAGCTATTGTGTGATCTCTGTGACCTTCAGTTTGAAGTAATGCAGCACCTAAGTCTATGTCACTGTCATCTGTGACCAACGTAAAAGGCTTAGAAAAATCTGGGTACCTTAGAACAGGGGATGAGATTAATGTTTTTCTGAGCTTTCTGAAAGATTGTTCTTGGGCTTCTTCCCAAACAAAGGGTTCATCTTTTCTTTGCAACTTGTAAAGTGGAGCGGCTATAGTAGAGAATCCAGCAATAATTGAGCGATAAAATCCTACATGACCTGTGAACTCTCTCACGGCTTCTGCAGTATGAGGCGTTGGAAAATCACGGACAGCAATGATTTTTTATTCATCCTAGGTAATACCTGAAGGAGTGACTGTATAACCTAAGAAATTCATCTTCTTTAAAAATGAGCATTTTGATAATTTTGCTTTCAAGTTTGATTCTGCGAGCTTTGTATGTACTTTTCCAAGTTTCAGAAAGTGAGTCTGAACATCTTGTGACATGATTACGAGATCGTCGAGATACACCAAAAGAGAACTTCCTATTAATCTGTGAAAGAGGTTCATCATGAGTCTTGAAAAGGTTATTGGACTGCTTCTCAAACCAAATGCATTCTTTTGAAATGAAAATGACCATTAGCAGTACTAAAGGCTGTCAACTGCTTACTTTCCACACCAAGTGTGATTTGCCAGAATCCCTGCAACAAATCTAATGTTGAAAATACATTGTTTCGACTATGCTTTGCAACAATTCATTTAAGACTGGAAGCGGGAAACGGTCATGTATCATTACTCTGTTAAGCTTATGGTAGTCGATTACTGGTCCCCGTGTCCCATCTTGTTCTGGTACAAGAGTCAATGGGGCATTTCATGGTGAATTGCTTGATTCAATTACATCATCGTGTAACATTTCCTCTATAAGTCTGTCAGCTTCTGCTCTCTGAGAATGTGGTAAACGATATGCTGGAACATAAATTGTTGTTGTACATTTTTCAATGGGAATTTTATGAGTGATGAGAGGAGTGAGACCTAACTTTTCTCCAGGAGGGGCAATTAATGCCTTTTCTATTCTTATTTAAAATTTGCAAAAGTTGAATCACAAAGTCAGGGAAATCTGTAGGACTGAGGTGTAGCGCTTACACCTCTGGCTGTGATTCCTGTTCTCCTGGTGTGAGTACACACACAGTATGTTCCACTGAGACATCGTTCACCACTCGTACTGGTAATGAGTAATGGACAAAATCTACTACGTGGGTGCCAGATTGGAGATGGATGTCGGCAGTACTAGTATTTGCAATGTATAATGTAACAGTACTATCCTGCACTGTGTGTCAGGAGGGTTCAACAAATGTACCGTTCACTTTACATGTTTCACTTTCTGCAATGACATCCGACATCTCAGGATCTCCTTGAACCTTAACTCTTACTCTGGTGAGAGAATGAGAGTGTAGCGCAGTGTCAGTAGCTGTGGATCCACTGACTTCAGCATTGAGAAGCTGCTAGGCGAGCAAGACGACGAGAATCTGTTAAGGCGTCACCCTCCTGAAAGTCTCGATACTCATTCTCCCGAGCAACTGCACAACTATGGTGCTTCAATTTAGTACCTGTTTTCTCGGGTATGCTACTGCGACAAGAATCTGACAACTGAACGCTAGCAAGTTGGCTGTCGACATAATGAATATAATCTTTCTTAATGTTGAACTCATGACTCATCTTATACATGCTGCAAAGTGATATGATATGATCCTTAATACTAATGATCCAATGATGGGGAAACAATGCAATATTCTCATCAATCATGGTGTTCAAACCTAAGAGAATGTCACCAGGGAAATGGATACTATCTGCAACTAAGCATGTTATGGACAACATGATATCATTTAACTTGAGTGGGAAGTCAATTTCTCCGGTCAATCTTGAGTGGGAGGTCAATTTTCAAAACTGTCACTTTGTTTCCTGATACACCCTTCAGAAAAGGTACGGCTAATTTTCTTACTGTGACAGAATGCTTACTTGAAATATCTTTTAAGAGCTGCAGGCTTGACAATATTTATTTTAGCACCTGTATCAATAAAGACTTTTAGTATTCTTCCATGTACTAAGGCTGAGACTAGTGGACCAAAAAAAAAAAAAAAAAAAAAAAAAAAAAAACGTTTGTTTTTTGTTAAAAAAAAAATCGTACAGTTCACTGATTGTGATTTATATTGCTTAGGTTGTCTGCGTCTCGTCAGAGACAAATTCACTCTGGTTTTGTCAACATATATAACTGGTCTATTATCAGTGTCCTCCTCTATCAAG